ATTTTGATTATTTTTATTATTAATTTAATCAGTAGTTATAAAGAAATTAAAATTCAAAGTTTAGTAATTAAATTATTTATTATATAATTTTTATATTAATTTTTTTAAATTTAATATAGTAAAATTTAGAAATAATAATTCAAAAAGTTATTAGCAAAATTTTTTTATAAAAGATATATAATAAAAATTTTTATATTTAAATAAATTCCAATATTTAATATTTTAAATTAAATAAGACAGAATTAAAATTTTATTTTGAAAAAATAATCCATTAATATTTATCTGAAATACAAATACTTTTGTACTGGATCATATCATAAATAACTAATTACAGTGTTTTTCATAAAGAATTGCAATATATATCAATTATATGATAAAGAATGAATAGAATTTCATGAAATTTTTCAAATATATATTTTTTGATATGAAGAACAAAGTTACTTAAGACATATTGGTATAATATCATATTAAAAATACCATTAAATTATAAAAAACTAAAACAATCATAAAAGTTGCTAACTTTATATCTTTATTGATTATTTAATAAAAAAAATATCAGAATTATATCAAAATTTATAAATATATTCTTTGTAATATAATGAACAATCTCACCTATAATAAAATAATAGGATTACTTAATATTATTTTTAATAAAATAAGCTCAATCTTTGTTGAATCTGACTTATTTTTTACAATAAATTTTATTGAGAAAAGCGTAATAATAATTAATAATAATTCTGTAAAATATTTTAATCAAACTTGTTTTACAGGTTATAAAGAAGATGTGTCTAAATTATCAGGCAATTTTGAACAATTTTTCATTTTATGCACTATATCAAAATTTCGAATATTTATGACGACCACTGTACATGTAATATTTTAAGTACAAACAATTCTACCGTGCGGTTAAGATTTATTACTTTATTGTATGAAGAATCTAATATGAATTCTTTTTACATCTCCTCTTAATGGTCTATGCAATAATGATAATATCATTTTCATTCTTCAATTAGTTACTCGTTAGGTCTCTATAAAAAAATTCATAATACATGTACTATAAAGAGCGATAGAGATATATTAAATTTATAAAAGCTGTGTCAATGGATATTTAATACTAAAGCGTGTCGTAAAAAAATATAAAGTCTGTAAAATTATAAAATAAACTCTAGTTCTCAGTTCGCTTCCCGCCTGAAATTTATAAAGCAACTTTTCAAAGCTAACAAACATGCGACTATAATCGAAACTATATTATTAGCTGCGTAATGACTTCCTTCAACATGTAATGCATAAGTTCTTGCGGATATAAAGTAAAATAATTTCAAAACTATGATTCTTTCATAGTTTTTGGATAATGCCCATAATTCACTGGAAGATCGACCAGATTTAAACCATTTGTCGTATCTTAGTGGTGTTTCGTCAAACACAATCCGGTATAAACAAACTTCTTTACCTGTTAAAATACAAAAATTAGTTTACTTTAATGTAAAACAAATTTTTAACATATCTATAGATTAGATGGCTCACATAAAAATAAAATCAGCTTCAACACTGTGGTATCAAAGAAACATATACAAGTCATAAACCAATAAAAATGTTCGAATGCTTCGACACTTAGATATGGAGCGAGCAATGGAGCCACATGCTATAAAAACAAAGAAGGTTACAATTATAAACTGAAATTGCAAAATCTTGAAATATTTTTATTTACCTTATCCTCATGTTTCAATAAATATATGGATTCGGCAATTAAGAAATACGAGAATATGTTGAACAGAAAAAATGGATGCAAAAAAAATTCCAAAAGACTTGGGGGATCTTTCAATTCTGTATATACGTATTGATTTACGCACGTAACCTCTTTATTGAAATCATCTATTCTAATCGCTAATTGTTCAAATGAACTTCGAGCGGATTTACTATTCATTGGTGCGAGATATTACAGTAGTAATTTTCATTTGAATAAAATACATGTACATGCATTTATTAAAATTTGTGTTACACACAAACACAAACACATCACATTTTTTATTGTTTCATGTATTATTAAACCCATTTGGACAGATACAATGTAATGAGAATTACATGTAAATGCACTCGAAAAATTAATAAATTAGCGGTAGAAGTTTTGGCGTCGTTATACATGTACATTTAGGGAGTGCGGTCAACTTTGTACAGTAGCGGTAGCTCAAAACTATCACAAAAATTACATGTACATACATGTATATCGATATTACAATCGATTTTTATAACGATAGAATGATCGACATAGTGTACATGTATTAATCCAGTAATTAGCTGATTAAATTCAATTATTAGACTATTTTTCAATGATTTATTTTAAAGGTTTTTTAAACTCTTGGAGCTGCTCGTTGAGCTTGATAACATTGTTTGGATGATTTGTAATTCCCATTGCTAAATTTAGGTATAGAAGCACGAATTCATCTTATTTTAAAGATCAAATATAATAAAATTAATGAACCTATATAAATAGTCATTCTTATTATTTAAAGTGATCTTTAATTCTAGTTAGACGGGTACATGTAATTGGGCGAGATTACATGTATAAATAATCTTTGTTGACAAAAGAAAATAAGGTAAAAAATTTTCTTCATAAACGCACGCACAAATTTCGAATATTCAGATTATATATACTGTACATGTATGTCGAAGATATTATACATGTATATTAAAAAAATACTCGTTGCCACAGATATCGATATGTCAGTTTATATAAATTAAACGAAGCAAAGGAAGGTAAAATTATTAAATATACCACAATGATGCATACTGACTTAAATATATCAAATATTAGGTTCTTGGATCAAGTAAAATCACTATTTTTGAAAAAATGCAATAAATCGATATTAAAAATGCTTGTTTACAAGTGATATAGACGACGCCAAATCAACAAGTCCCAGTTAAAGAACACTACAAACTCAAAATTACACTCGTTATCAAATATTTTATCATCATATAAAACAATTTCAAACTCTTACATTTATCATATTGAAAGTAATAATCATATTGAAAGCACTAATCATATTGAAAGTAATATGTTATTTTAAAGAAAATTAACTGAAATGCAATTGTAGCTATTCCACTAATTGCAAGAAGAAATATTCAGCACTTAGCTTCTACTGCCAGCATAATACATGTATTAGATGATTCGATTACCCATTCATTACATTAGTTAACTTTCTGAATACATGTACAGAAACAGATACGACGACGTGTACATGTATTTGTTAACGTTAATTTGCTTTCTCCATCGAAAAAAGATGAGAGTCATTAAAATTTAAAATGATGCCGACTTGCTATTGACTTCACACTCAAAAAGGCTCGATAAAAATGCCAACTATCGATTTTTGTTGGTGAGAATCAAAATACTCTACATACTTTTTCAGCCCACTCGGCAATCTTTGATGGCGCAGTCGCATTATTTTTGGTAGTGCTTGCCGATACTCAGTTGAAGCGCGAACTAATAAGATGATTTTTTTAAGAAATCTAACATCGAACCACGAGTGTTTGAATTATCGCTAAGGTAACTTCATATTATAAATGAACAACAATTCTAAATAAATGAAGTAATGAAAATTTGGCTGGCTGCTTTAAAATTTAATGAATATATTTACAATGGAAAAATCGAATCGATTCGGTGTTCGATACTTTTTGGATTTATTAATTGCGGCTGATAGAATGATATTTGAGGACCTAACAATTCCACTGAAAAATTGGGCACATGACGAATTTAAACAATTCAATCAACTATCACATCAATTCGGTTGATTTTTATAACAAAATCATGCCATATGCTGAAATTTTGTCAGGATCGCAATATAAGGATTTATTACATCATTATTTGGTTTCAGGAAGCGAAGATAAAAGGTTACCTTACATCCAGTTCGCAAACTCACAAACGACGACTTCTCAATGCTTTCATAACAACAGATCTCTAAAATAATCAATTGGATTAAAAAACAAGATGATAGTCAGGAAAATAAATGAAATTACCACTACGAAATAGTCGTGATGAATTTAAGCCTACTGACTTTCATCGTCTTGTGATAATAAAAGTCAACAATCGTTGCCATTCGCGTAAAAGATGAAGGAAATGATTATTGATGGTCATGATCCATTTGAGTGAAATTCGCTTGGCAGCCTTTAAAATAACTTATTAATAAATTTGATTCTGAAGGTATTCAAGCTATCAATGGAGTTCTAAGTAAATATAAAAACGGGTTGAGTGTGAGGTGCTCTTTTAAGAGTTTCAAAGATTTTCTGCAATAACTTTTATAAAGACTACTATATAGAATAGTGAAGAGTAAATTATTAATTATGGTATAGTTTCTGCTTATTAATAATAATAACAATAATAATAATAATTGTATAATCAGAAAAGATTGACTTATTGATATAGTTAATTAATTAACCAATAATTTGAAATAAACCACAAAAGTGAATTTAACAGTCTGACTTATCCAATGCAATAAGTAAATCACAAATAAATATAATTTATTTAGTGTGAAGTTCTTCTATCAATTATATTAGATACAAAATAAAGAAAGTCATTTGTATACGATCTTTAATAATATAAAGACAGAGCAAAAAGGAATATTTTTAAATAAGAACGCTTCTCATTATTAATATCGATATGGTTGCAATTTCCATGTTAAGGGAACTAAAGAAAATTATAGGAATCGTATGATGTTAATTATTACGAATATGGCAACAATTTTCCATGCTAAAGAATTAAGGAAAAATTATGGAATAACAAGATTTAAGGTAGCAATTACATGTATAAAAGCATAAAGATAATAACATTGGGAATAATTGATTAATTGTGAATTTTAAATCAATGATTTAAATGGTAAAGTTTCATCATCTTCCTACTGTAGTTTCACCGTCTCACACTATTGTGTAATAAAGGTATATTTAAACAATTTCGTTATTCCATAATTAAGTATTAATGATACCCTTATTTCGAGTACATGTATATGTACGTAAATAAGTAAACATTCTTTAAAAAAATAAAATTATAAATACATGTTTACTGTATTTCTAACAGATAGTTTATCTGATAATATTGTTCAGAAAGCAGCTGCGTATGGACAATAGAAGTATTTTTTTTTAGAGAACGTACAGTATGATATTTATATTACATAAAATTATGGTGAGTTAAATAAATTTAAAAAGAAACTATTTTACACAAATATATTATCTTTCTAACGCCTGAAAATAAATAATCATAAATTTCCTATTTAAATACAGGTCAATTTACTAATAACACTGAATTTTTCCATGTAAATTAACTTATTGAATTAGAATTATTTGGATAAAAGCAACCCGTTAGATAACAAGCCTGGATCTTCTAAATCGATAGGAGCCGCTAATTGATAAACGTCATTTTGAGGCGGAAATGTAATGGGAAGCCCATTGATTGTTAGCAAGAGAAAGGTGATAAAGAAAGCAAGAAAGCAATTGTAATGTTTAAGATTCATTTTTGGTGGTGAAGTGGTAAATAATTTGAAAATATCAGTTAAAAACCAAATAATATGAAAGTGGTTTTTCGAACGTGTTTCTTCAACAGAACACCCATATTTATACATTCCAAATTTCTAAAAATTTGTCAGTCTTCTTAGAAACGCCAACAATTCCGAATACAAATACCATTATCAAGGTTGAGTGTTGACTACAGCGAGACCTTTTTTTACATATTCATATGTGCATACACGTACAGTCGCCTCAAAAAGTAACGCCCGATCTGTATGTGTAACAAGATCAATAACTTTATACATGGCGGCGGCGTTTCCCCCTTTTTTAATGTTTTTTTTTACCAATTTTTATGTCAATCTCTTTCGTCAACTTCACCAAAACACTATAATAAATAATTTTTATGTGATTATGTCAGCCATACGTACCCAGATGACTGACATGGAGAAGGGAAAAATACGGAGAATATGAACGCTGAACAAATTGCAAGAAAGATGAAGCGTGACCCCACCACAATACGACGATTTATTGCCAAATATAAAAAGACCAAAAAAATCGATAATTTACCACGGTCCGGAAGACCGCAAGTTCTCAACAATAGACAAAAAAATGTACTTAAACAAAAAGCCACCAAAATGCGACGCGAACCATTACACGAAATTGTGAACAGTTTAAACCTTAACTGCAGTTTGTCAACTGCTAGGAATGTGCTGCATGACCGTGGGATTCGATCTTATATTGCTGCAGAAAAGCCATTTATTTCGGAAAGTAGCGCAATTGCGCGTGTTACTTGGTGCGAAAAATATAAGAAAAAAACCCCTTCCGATTGGTGGAAGATCATTTTTTCGGATGAATCGAGTGTGGAGATTGGAAAACAATCACGACAAATAAGAGTATGGCGAAATACGGGTGAGAGGTTTAATACT